TTACCTTTTAAGATTTGACCACACTAACACAGCCACATTTTTGGATTTTGAAAGAAAAGTATGTTTTTGAGAATATTAGCAAGGAAAATTCTTCCACTAAGCACACCAAAATAAGAGCTGAGAATCAACTTATATGCTAGTGTGGAAAAGAAACTGGAGTACCTTTTAAATAAATTGCGTTCAGAGTATTGGAGATTGTCACTTTCTTTTTTTTTTTGGAAGAGGTTTTTGCTATAGGGCGCGTGTGCTTGCCAGTCAAACAGAGACAGAGAGACAGAAAGCGAGAAATCACCCCCCAGGGGGGATGGCCACGCCACAATCCCTTCTCCTCCATTCTCCTCTCGGGATCTTGGGCACGCACGCACACACGCCCGGCGTGAGTTTTAAGCCACCGGGTCCGGGATGTGAACCGCGGTCGACTACATGGGAGTCCAGCGACATAGCCATTACGCTAACTGCTGGTTCCCTGGAGATTGTCACTTTCTAGAACTGCCATTCTATAACTCTTCCAAAGAAACCTCTCTACAACTCGGCAGTGGCTTAGAGCACGGCAGTGCCGTCCTGTGCACACGACTGCAGTTATGTTGAGAAACTTCAACGGCATCTTTGGCGAACATGTTTACAAATATTTATCATGCAAATGGCAGCCGAAGGAGAAATCGTCTAAGTCACACGGATGCTTAATTAGATTTGGTTCAGTTACATGTCACTGATTTTTATAGAGCGTTCCCGTGACATGCATCCAAGTTTTCATTTGGCAAGCCACAAATAAGCCAAAGTACAAAAGATCAGAGGCCACCAAGTGGCCAAGAGCCACCCACAACGAACACAAAGGATAATGCACATGGAAACCCAGGGAAATCCTGCCATGGACTGGACACAACAGCATTGCGCTGGGTTTCAATCTTGCTCTCCAGAATCGTTTTCCCCTTGGGCAGCCCTGGGGTATTCGACTCATGCACTCACCATCTTCCCATGATACACTTTTCTTTCTTACTGGTTTCAAGGGACGTGCATTTTCCCATTTTTCTTTGAGGACCACAAAATAGGCTAACTTTGGAAAGAGCATAATCAGGTGTCAGCATGAACTGTGGCGATGGTCTGGACTTTATGGTCACCCTCCCATAGTCACAGTGGCAGCGGTATTCTTCAGCTAAAATCACATCAGGAGGGATGGCTAGCAGGGATGGAAGCAAGCACGTCTGGGTACCGCAGTGTCTGTCTAAGCTGAGTCAGCGTCATCCCCGGGGACTGCCCAAGAGCTGGGGAGGCACGAGACGCTTGCCTGTCTATGAGGGAGGACTTTTTAACTGCGAGGGGAGCAGGGGGAGTCGGCAGTGGGACTCGTCACAGGCCTCTGTGTCACCTTATAGACCCATGGGGACAGGCTCGCACCTGACCCCTGCGGTCCGCTCTGCGGTTTGCCTAGCCCTGCGACTACGTGCTTCCCTACATCTCCGCTCCATGTAAGGGCTTGCTCTGGGGATGCCTGGCCAGCACACTCTGCTCCTGTTTCCTCCGCAGCAAGCTAACGTCACTTACTGCCATCCTCAATGTCAACAGCGTTTGGCCTTTCCAGTCCGTTGGCCAGTCTGCAGGTCAGCGTGGACCCTGGGTGAACGATATTGATAGCATGTGAACTGGGGGTGCGAGATTAGCAAGCTAAGCAGAGCACAGCATGAACTAAGGAACAGAGCTGGGTCTTACGGCATCGTCTTTGCAGAAAAAGGAGAAGGTATTGACCGTGATCTCCTGGGCTGAGCTCCAAGCTGCTTCTGTAGCTTCTGACGCACTTGGAGTGGAATCTCCGCCCTGGCTCACCTTGCTCTGGGCGAGGAATGGATCACCCTGGTGCTTCCAGCTAGCTTGGGAGACCTGCGGCTGCACTGGCTCAGGGCCGGGTGAGAAGCGTGTGCTTGGATGTGGGCACCAGAATTGCCTGGTGGTCTCACGAGACACTAGGCACGATCAGAAAGCCACAGCAAGATGGAGGCACTCTGTCTCTGGCTTTCTTCCTTCACGGTGGAGCATTTAAAGTGAGGCTAAGTGGCCTTCCAGATCCAGTGGCTTTTCCCTTACTGGAGTTAGGAGGCAGTTCTGCCCCTCTGGACAGCAAATTCCCCTAAAATCCTGCATGCTGCTCGGAGGGGCAGGCCACACACCAAGGTCCGCCTGCTGTGTAGCAGTGAGTGCCGTGCACCGTGCGGGCTGTGGGCAAGACAGCAGCACGCACAGACCCGGACGAGGAGCTGCGCTGTCCTCAGGGCCAGGGAGGATGCAGACCTCACCCTCCTGGAGGCCTGTCAGCCTTCCTCTCTCATTCCTACCCCTGCCCGTCTTATTGCCCAGCCATAGCTCACACCCGACTCACCCAGGAGAGCTTTCTGGTGGCCCGTCAGGGACCCCCCGGGCTTGCAGTGTTACCATCTCTGCAGTGCAGTTGGGCATGTCTCCCCGCTGCTGCTTCCCGTGTGCGTCCCCACCCAGGGAGGCAGATGTGTCTGGAAGTTCTGCCTTCCCTGTATCTGAGAGGGGACATTACGAGGGACGGTCAGTCTGTATGGCTGGTTTATTTAACAGAGTGGGCTAGGGATAGAAAACTAGCGTGTGGCTCCAAGGCCACTGTGTGCTAACCACTGTCACCTTCCTCCCGAGCCAGTACCCCAGAGCCTGTCGTTTTAATCTGAGCGCCTGGATTCTGTGACAATGACACATAAGTTCCATTCCTGAGTTCAGGTATGCCCTACCTTAGCGTTCTCACTTTGCAGCCTCTATTTAACATACAGCAGCGTCATTCAAGTGCTGTTTCCAAACTTTCCCTTCGTCATTTTGGCTAATTCTCACACCCATCTGGCAAGTTTCCAGCTGAGGAAACTGAGGCCCGGGGAAGGTGAGGCGACCCGCAGAATCACACAGACACATGGGGTTTGTCTTCCCACCCCAGATCTCTTCTTGGGACCAAACAATTTTCTCTCAGAAAATAAGGTTGAATTTTGATAGATAGAATGAACCCCTGGTTTTGGAGTAATAGACTTTAGCGATTGTGAGTCTTCATGGGAGTACTGCATGTGTGTGCATGTGTATGAGTGCTCACGTGTGTGCGTGTGTGTGCATGTGTGTATGTGTACCGGCGGGTAACAATCCTGCCGCTCACAGGACTTCTTCCTAAGGCGTAAGTAATTCTTGATCTTCTAGAAAGTTGGCCAAGAAACCACGCACAGTTCTTATTCACGGGCCTTGGCACTCGGTGGAGAGGGTACCCAGTGACGTGGGTGGCCCAGGAAGCCCCTGGGTGGGAAGGAGTTTAGGAGTGCAGGGAGTGGGAACCCGGACGTGTTTATAGCTCCCCATCCCTTTGGCTCTGCGGCCTCCAGCTCTGTTCTGCACGCGGGTGTGGAGCTGCGGATGTGACATCTGCACCTGTCCAGCTGTTCCCTTGCTATTCGGCTGAAGAGGGACGGATTTCTCAGGTGCTGGGGGGATGTGAGCTCAGGCTGCAGGCTTGCTGCCTGGAGGCGGGCCTCCTTCTCTACCCAGGCTCCACAGCAGACACCCACCTCAGAGGTGGGTGAGGCTTGAGGCCAAGGTGTAGAAGGCCAGGATACCACAGTGAGGAGGACCACGGGGTCATGAGGACACCTCAGTGGCCGGCTCTGCTACGTGACAGCTCAGGACACCAGGATGGGAGGTCTCGCTTCTCAGACTCAGAGCAATCGTCAAGTTCCAGATGACTTCTCACGCCTTCTAAAACCAGAAATTCTTACCAATTGAGGTGGAAAGCATTTCTTTCACTAAAGAATGGTTTCTAGTCTAGAAGTTTCTGACAGATCTCGTGGAAGCTATCAGAGCCTGCGTGGGCAGTTGATGTAGAGCCTCGTGCCCCCTGCCTTGCCGTGGCAACCACCAGACCTGGCCAGGTCCTAACCTCTATCCTGGCTGTGGCCTGGGGTGGCATTCCCTGAACAGCTGGGGACACTGCAGCCAGCTGGTAAACAGCACCGAAGTGACACAGCTGTGTGCGTATATATATATGATTTTTTTCCCCTAAAAACCGAAAATGTTGTTTTTAATTTTATATTAGACAAGGAAAATATCTGGGAAACCGTGAAGCCAGGTGCTTTCCCAAGGAGAAGTTGTGGACACGGCGCAGCCATGGTAAACACAGCACCAAAGTGACACAGCTGTGTGCGTATATATATATGATTTTTTTCCCCTAAAAACCGAAAATGTTGTTTTTAATTTTATATTAGACAAGGAAAATATCTGGGAAACCGTGAAGCCAGGTGCTTTCCCAAGGAGATGGATCTGCCCGCAGGTGCTCAGTGTCCACAGTGCAATCCCATTACAACCCACAGCCCTGGTCCCCAGGCCTTCAGTTAGATACCAGGTTTCCAGGACAGAGAATTCCACCCGGGGGGTCCGGCGAATGAACGTGGAGAGTTCATTGTCCCCTGTTGCGTGACTGTCACTGCCCAGAGGGAACCTGAGCAGGTCACTCCCTCTCAGCACTGTCATTCTGGCCCAGCTGAGCCGCTGCTGTGTATTTGGGGCAAGTAAGAACGTGGCAAAAATAAAAGCAACAAGAAAGAGGCGATCTGGTGACTGGCCAGCCATGCTGGGCAAGCCGGTCCCAGTGGCTCAAGGTAAGTCCCTCCCATCTGAGAACCGCTGAGCAAGTGAACAGTCCCTGGGCAGCCCAGACCGTCGGGAGAACTGAACACAATCGGCAAGAAGCGTCTTCGCCTTCAGAGTGGCCAGAGACGCCCTGCAACCTCTGGGCTTGACACAGCCCCGCCTCCCAGGTCCTGGAGCCCTGCTGCTGCCCTGGCCGCTCCCGGAGGCCGGCTGAACCTACCCGATGTTTGTGGGGACTGGGGACCCCCTGAGACACGCTCCAGTGCCCGGCTGTAGAACGCTGCTCCCGACATGCATGCTACGGTGTTTGCAGGATCTGAAAAATGAACATTTTAAAAACAGATGGACTATTTTAAATGGAAAGAGAGCCCATAATGACTCGGTCCTCGAGGCAGTGTATCTGGTATGCATGATTTTATTTAAAATGTGTCCAATAAGATTTTCCACTTGGAATGAACATTTTACCTCCTTCCGCAGATTATTATAAACAGTAGTTCCTCATTTCATGGAGTTTCTTAGAAAGTTCTATGTAACTTAACAGAGGGAAAAATGAAAGTGTGAGGAGATTAAATAACAGGAAGTGACACAGCATCCCGACCTCGGGGGACACGCGAGTGACTACTGGGTGAAGGAACAGACCCGGTCATGCAAATCATCGTACGGTCACTTGGTGTCCTCTGGCAGTTCTGGCCTTCCCTGTCACTAGCACGGAGAGTGAGATGAGTCAGATGGCCGCGGCAAATGGGACATTGTCTTTAGCTTCCGGTGGTGGAGAGAAGAGAGGAGCACGAACGCCCTGCGGTGGGCACTTCCCGAGGCTGGCACAGACTGTCGGCTCACGCGCAGGTGCACCGTGCTCCGCCCCGGTGGCCCCATGTCCCCACCTTTAGTCTAATGGCACTGGTTGATCTGTGGACAGCAGCACACCATGAAATCAGCAGAGAGAGCACGTTTCAACCGAGTGGGCAGTTGTAGTTTTCAGTCGCTAGAACCTGGCAATGTGAACTGTGTTTCCATGAGCCAAAAGTCATAGCACGGATGAGGCCTAAATGTCGTCACAGCAGACCACGGGCCACAGAGAGACACGTCTTCAGGTTACGTCGACCTGCCAGGTAGAGAGGGACAGAGCACAGCGAACGGAGCTGCGGCGTGGGGCGCTCGGCGATCTCATCACATGGGCAGCGCCGTTCGCACCGAACGGAGGGAGCGGCCGAGTGTCCTGCCGGCTCATCGGAGCTGCTGTCATGGACAGAAGCTAAGGGCAGTGAGACGGGGTGGGCGGAGGGGTAGGCGGGCCAGGAACCTCTCCATCTCCACATGTGTTCTAGAGCGACGTGGAGAAGGTCAGTCACTTCTAACCGAAACCTGGCCCTGAACGGCGTCTGCGTCCTCTCTCTGTAAACACATCTGTTCATAAATAACTTAAACGTCTCCTTGGCATTCAGGGTGCAGTTCCGGCTGGAGTACAGAAGGGTGGAGGATGCACAGCGTGGAGGAGGAGATGTCAGGGTGCCGGGGTGTGAGGACAGGCGGCGCGAGCGTCTAATGCACGTCGCAAACATCAGCCATCAGAGACGGGCGGGGTGACCCAACCATATTTTTCATGAGTCTTCACCAAACTCTTAAAGGTGGCTTCAGCCTCCTTGCGACTGAAGGACTTTTTCGATTTGCCGGCTTTTCTACAGATACGTCCCTGCATGAAGGAAAAGAAAAACCACGTTAGAATTCCAGAGAGACTTCGGTTCCCCCACCAACAGGCATGTCTGAGTGGGCGTGATGACTGGCCACCAGCGGGGGCGGGGCTTCCTCACTGGGCAGATATGGGACGTGACAGCTGGGGGAGACCGGGGCACAGCAAAGCTGGGGCTGGCAGGAGGGTGCTGGCTTCAAACCCATGGCATTGGCTGAACTGGAACTGCTTATTGATCCTGGGACCAACCTCTGACCCAGCCCTGAGATGGGCTGGGAGGATCAGCTTTATCAAAAGAGCATCAATTCAGAACCAAGCCTGTTCTCCCTAAGGCAAAATCGTGTTTGAATTTCCTTTCACTTTTTTGAAAGAATGCCTTCAAGTACAGCTTACAGTTCCTCTTTGAGAACAGTGGAGATAAATTTATTTACAGAGACAAGTGTATTAATATACTAGTTACACATATTCGAACACTCGGCTACCGAACTCCCTGTAAACCAAGCCGCGGTGAGCAATCTGGTGAGAGGGTGGTGCAGACACCTCCAGCAGGAGACTGGTCCTTGAGTCCCAAGGGGCAGAGGTGGGGGCCAGGGCTTTGTTACCATCCTGGGAGGTGGGGGCTGGGGAAGACCCCCCCTTCCTTCTAGTGACCGGATGTGTTCTGGTCCGAGGGACAGAAGCTGTGGTTCTGCAGTGGACGAGAGGAACTGCTCGAGACCATGAGAAAGAAGGAAGGAGGCAACGCTCCCACGTGCCCGTGTTGTGGGAGCCCTGGAGAACCTGCTTTACTTGGCATCAGAGGGCACGGGCAGATGAAGACACCTGGGGGCTGGGTGCTGCTGGGCCCTGACTGGACTTGTGGCTCTGGTTGCTCCAGCTTCAATTATTCCACACCTTGATGGCAGATGAGGAGAACGCTCCCTCAGCCTTGAGGGCCCATGTCCCCCTGCACCGTCCCCTTAGGCTCTCCTGGAAGCTGCTGGTCTTCCTGAATATCTCATGTGCTTTTCGGATGGGGCTGAGACGCCCTGAGAGCTTTGGCTGAGCTTCGTCTGCCGGCAGGCAGCGCGGGCATCCTGGGAGCAGCCTCTGTGCCGTTATGGACTTGGGCCGTCGGGGAGGCTGTGCTGGCCACCCGCTGCACTCCTGGCACGTGAGACCTTGCCACTGCACAGCTGTGTGTGAGCCGCGACCCGATCGGGGACAGGCCTCACAGCAGCCGCCTCCTGTGCCCTCCGCAGCCCCCTGCCTGACGGGCAATGAGGGCGGAAGCCGCTCCGGTCTGGGTGGCCACGGGCAGCTGAGGGCTGCCCCGTCTTTGCTCTCGCTTATAACCACTGAGAGGTGACTCTGGAGTGAGGCCGCACGCTGACCTGGACTCTCTGACACCTGTCGCTAGACCCTGAGAAGACATGACCCTTTTACATATTAAATTTGGGCATGTGTGTCCTTTCCAATGGCTATCTTTGCAAGAGGGAACATGCAGACCCATCTCTAGTTGAGGAGTCAGAAATCCAAGCAGGGGCCCAGCAGGTGGCGTGGTGGTTAAGGCACTGGTCGCCCATGTGGCTGTTGTGGTTCAAGTCCCAGACCTGGCAGCTTGAAAATCATGTCTGGTGCTTCTGTGTGCATGCCCAAAACCTCAGAGAGGAAGAGAAGGGATTGTGGGGTGGCCCTGGGCGTGATTTCTCACTTTCCCTTTCACTCTCTCTTTCTTTTTAAAAATGATTATTTTATTTTATTTATTTATTTATTTTGGGACCAGCAGTTAGCGTAATGGCTATGTCGCTGGATTCCCATGTAGTTGACTGTGGTCCGAGTCCTGGACCCGGTGGCTTAAACTCACACTGGGCATGTGTGTGTGTATGCCCAAGATCCCAAGAGGAGAATGGAGGAGAAGGGATTGTGGTATGGCCATCTCCCCTGTGGGGTGATTTCTCGCTTTCTGTCTCTCTCTGTCTTTCTAGTGAGTGCACACGCTCTATAGCAAAAACCTCTCAAAAGAAAAAAAAAAGAATTAAATAATAATTTTTAACTTTCTCTCTCTCTGTCTCTGTCTTTCTGACGAGCGCATGTGCCCTACAGCAAAAACCTCTCCAAAGGAAAAAAAAAATAGAACTATGAAGTATTTATTTATTTGAATTTGACCAAAGAGGGTCAGAGTGAGAGAAAGAGAGAGAGCAAACCGACAGGTCTGGGACTTGAACCATGGTCAGCCATGTAGGAGTCCAGCGCCCTTAATCACCATGCCACCTGCTGGCCCTTTCACTATCTCTTTCTGTCTCTCTCAGGCAAGCGCACACACCCTACGGCAAACACCTAAGACAAACAAACAAACAAGAAACCCAGGGAAACACTGCTCTGACCCCACCCTGGCCATCCCTTTGGCTGAGCTCGTCCATGTGCCAACAGGACAGTGATAACCTTCTCTTCTTCTTTTTCTAATTTATTTTACACATTCAATGACTACACATCACTTAGCTCATAAAGTGAATTTACCCAACATGAATACACTTCACACCAGTCCAGTCGAGTATATAGTGTATACACTATCAACAGATAGTAATCCATTTCTTTGTCCCATAAATGTCTTGCCTATTTTTCTCCTTATTTCCTCACACTCTCCCCCTTTTCTCACCCTCTTCCCACACTGTCTTCAGTATCCCTAACCATTTTTCCATGCTTCTATATCCTCTAGTCTTTAAGTTTCCTCCATAGAGTGCAGGTGGCTGGTACAGATTTAGTGGGGAAATACAATGTCTCTCCGTCATAGCTTGGCTTGCTTCACTCAGCAGTAAATCTTCCAGATTCATCCACTTTCCATCAAATACCAGGATCTTCTTTTTAATGACTGAGTAGTATTCCATACAGTATACGTGGTACACTTTTTCAATTGATTTATCTGTTCCTGGATGTTTGGGTTGGTTCCATGCCTTAGCAATGATGAAGAATGCCACGAACAACAGATGTGCAAGCACTTTTTCGACTGAGTGTTCTCCTTTCCTTTGGGTAGAATGGACAATGATGAGTGCTGGGGAGGCTGTGGTGAAATGGGAACTCTCGTGCACTGTGGGTGGGAATGAAGATTGGCCCAGGGACATCTTTTCTAACAGATTGCTGGTTCATCTCAAATGAGCTGCTGGAAGGCTGAAGGAAGCCAAAGGAAGATGACAGGGATAGCTCTTTACCCACTCCCCAGACTTCCCCACGCTCCCCAGGACGTGACTCCTGTTTTAAATCTTACCACTTCCTGCTCTGCTCATGTGGTGTAGTCATACTTGATGAGGAGTGACCACCACACGCTCCTACGTGTCCCACTACCATCATTGGGAGGGACTTCACTGAACACACAAACGCATCTCTGCAGGGATGCTGGCATCGATTTCACCTGGAGTGAGAGCAAGTCCCCGCTCTGTTCTCGGCCGACATGCACACTCTAACCACTGCCCTGACTCTCCTCTACAGCACTCATCCTCTAAGACCCATGGAACAACGTGAGGATTCTGACCCCAAGTAGCTAGACCTTACAACACAGGCTCACAATGACCCTGGAGTATCCTGCTGCTTTTGGCACGAACATATACTTTGCCTAGTCTTTGTGAAAGTCCCAATTGTTATGAGAAACAACAAACAAAACCCAGAAGAACAGACCCCTTGTTGCTGCCTGTCCTTCCCTGGGAGAATTATGAACACGAAGCCTCAGTGCTTGGTCAATTCAGCCAACAGAAGACAGAGCCTGCTGTTAGCATGGGGAGCAACTCTCGCTGTCGGTGCGGAGCTCTCCTCGCCTCTCCCAGATCTAACACCCACGCTGACAGCAAACAGATTTCCGCAGACTCCAGCCCTCTTACGATTGGCTAGTTAAATACTGCACAGAAAGGGACTAGCAGATGGCATAATGGTGACGTCACTGGACTCCCACGTAGTTACCGTGGTTCGAGTCCTGACCCTGGCGGGTTAATACTCACGCCAGGTGTGTGTGAATGTGTGAATAGATGAGAAGGGATTGCGGCATAGCCAGTCCCCTGAGGAGGGGAGGATTTTTTGTTTTCTATCTCTGTCTCTCTGGCAAGCACATGCGCCCTATAGCAAAATAAAAACAAAACCAAGCAACAAAACAAAAATAAAAACAAAAAAACCACAAAAAACAAATAAAAACGTCCCTCTCTTTAAAAACAATTGCACAAGAAACGCTGGGCTTGCCAATCACCCCTTGTACTTCCTGGCTCCATTGGTCGCTGAGCTGAGTTTGCTGAAAAGCCTTTGCAGTTCCCACCCCATCACGAAGTGGGAGGCGAGCCCACCCAACCTTAAGTCCCAGGAGGCTTCCATCCCTCCTTCTGGGACACAGGTTCTGGAAATCGGGACTTTCAGTGCTAAGGACTGGCCGGCACCAGGCCAGCAGCATGGACCTGCACCAACACCGGACGCGGCTATGCTGACCACACCGCACTGCACGCTGTGAGCAGAAGCTTTTCGTATTTTCATAACCATGCTTTTCTGCCTGTCTGTCCCCATGTAATGAATAATCAGTCTAGTCTGAGAAGTTTCCTTTGAATAACTCGTTTCTTGTAAAATACCTCTAACAGCACTTACTGCCGAATGACTGGAAGTGACAATTACTCCCCGCGAAGAGCTCAGCTCCATCCTGAGTTTAAGGCCAAGTTGCTCTTTGCTGAGTTCCGCTCTCTCTCTCCTGAGAGCAAACGGGCAGTCAGGAGTGGCCACGGGCTTTGGCCATCATGCTTTATAGGGCGGGCCCACGAGCACGTGGTCCCGGGGCTGCCTCGGTCAAGCAAAGCATGGGGATGCTTCGGTTTTCCCCTTACGGCATCTTAGGGGCCAAACACACATACAACAGAAACATTTATGCAGCTGACACGTGGCCCTGAACTCAGGCCATGTGGCGCGTTCAAGCCCTGCCTGCTGCCGGTGGGCCCTCACTCGCGTCTCATGGTCCTCATCCGTCCACTCGCTCGGTGTGGGGTGCTGGGCCAAGGAGG